ATCATTGACAAAGTTTGGACAGCTTGATACTATAGTTCCTTCTGTGGGGTTAGTGGACATTTCATAGAGTTGGGATTTTGGCCAAAGAGTGAATCAGTCCCTCCCACCAACACACACATATGCCGACTCAGGAGGTAAATGGTCCCATGTAACTTCAGGGCTTCAGAAAATTAAAAATTTTTTTCACTACTGATAATCACTGAAGTTAAGGCAGGATGTTTTATGTACATTCATGCATATATCATATCTTTTTAATTTTTCTGGTATTTTAAATTTTATGTAGCTGGTTTTTCACTTAAAAAGGAATTAGTGGTACTTCTTTTTTAAAACTGACAATATTCCAAACCAAAGGTCATGAAAATAATTGGATCGTTATTTAACTTGACTCACTGAAATGAAGAGGAGTATACTCTTTGGTAATTGATATAAAGCTAACTCTAGGATGGGAAACAAAGTCTAAACAATGGAACTATTAGATATGGACTTTATAATTAGCATAGTTAAGGGGCGCCTGGGTGGCTCAGTCGTTAAGCGTCTGCCTTTGGCTCAGGTCATGATCCCAGGATCCTGGGATCGAGCCCTGTGTGGGGCTCCCTGCTCTGCGGGAGGCCTGCTTCTCCCTCTCCCACTACCCCTGCTTGTATTCCCTCTCTCGCTGTGTCTCTCTGTCAAATAAATAAATAAAATAAAATAAAATAAAAATTAGCATAGTCAAGGAATTATAAGACAAGATGGAGAATTTTGGCAGATCATTGGAAACCATAAAGCAAACCATCTGTGAATTCTAGAACTGAAAATACGTTACAAATTAAGAACTCAGTGTGTTGTTGGCAAGACAGATTAGACAGAGCTGAAGAGAGAGTTAATGAACCAGAAGTAGGTCAGAGGAAAATACCCAAATTGAGGCTCAGAGAGACAAAAGGATGTAAAGTAAAGAGTTTAAAGACCTATAAGATGGGAAGATTTAACAGATGTGTAATCGTAGTCCAGAAAGGAGAAGAAAGAGTGATGGACATAAATAATATAGCAGACCTTGAAGCCATGGATTCAAAAAGTGCTGTGAATTCTAAGCAGGAGAAATGCAAAAATCCCATACTTAGGCATATAATAGTAAAATATTAGAAAGATAAAAGAAGAAAAATCTTCAAAGCAGCCAGAGGGAAAATTTTATTGCCTTCAAAAGAGTAATAATAATACTAATCTTTAGCTGACTTCTCAGCAGAATTAATGGAAGCCAAAAGACAGTGAGCTAATATCTAAAGTGCTGATAAACCTTATCTGTCAACCTAGAATTGTTTACCCACCAAAAATTTCTTTTAGAAATGGAGGTGAAATGGGAGTGCCTGGCTGGCTCAGTTGATAGAACATGTGACTCTCGATCTTGGAGTCAGGAGTTTGAGCCCCATGTTGTGGGTAGAGTATACTTTTAAAAAAAAAGATGAAGGTGAAATGAAGATATTTTTTCAGATAAACAAAAACCTAGAGGATTTATTTCTAGTAGACCTACAAAAAAGAAATATTATTTTCAGACAGAAAGAAAATTATCCCAGTTAGAAACCCAGAGGTGTAGCAAATAAACAGAAAGGGCAACTATTTTGGGTAAAATTGCATATGTTATGTTGGCTGTATAAAACAAAAACATCTTATGGGGTTTACGTATTTATAGAATTAACAGTGCAGGGGCGCCTGGGTGGCTCAGTTGTTGAGCGTCTGCCTTTGGCTCGGGTCATGATCCCAGGGTCCTGGGATTGAGCCCCACATCGGGCTCCCTGCTTGGCAGGAAGCCTGCTTCTCCCTCTCCCACTTCCCCTGCTTGTGTTCCCTCTCTCACTGTGTCTCTCTCTTTGTCAAATAAATAAAGTCTTAAAAAAAAAAAAGAATTAACAGTGCAAAACAACAACCATATATAAGTTAGGAGGGGAATTGATAGGGGGTTGAAAATCTCTACTAAATTGTTCTGTTTATAGGAGACATACCTTACATATAAACATATAGAGAGGTTGAAAGCAAAAGGATGGAAAAGATACATCATGCAAGCATCAATGAAAAGAAAGCTGATGTATGTATATTAATATCAAAGCAGGCTTTAAGACAAAATCATTAGTAGAGAGAAGAAAGAAGAATGTTTCATAGTGATAAAAGATTCAGTTCCTCAGGAAAATAATTCTAAATTTGTTTCCATAAAAACATAGTCTCAAAATATATAAAGCAAAAATTGTCAGAATTAAAAGAAATAGATAACTTGATGATCATAATGGTGAGATTGTAATACACTTCTCTCGGTAACTGCTAGAAACAGTTGACAAAATTAATAAAGATGTAGTCCTTTCAAATAATATGATTAACAACCCTGACCTAATGACACATGTTAACACCGTATCCTATGATTTCAGAACATATATTTTTTAAAGAACATTTCCCAAAATTGATTACATTCTGGTCTGTGGAGCAAATGTCAGTAAATTTCAAAGGATTGAAATGATAGAGAGTATGTTCTCTGACCATATTGGAATTATTCCAGAAATCAGAAATAAATAGATAAGTAGAAAATCCCTGTATGTTTGGAAATTAGGAAATAAAATTCTAAATAACCCATAGGTCAAAGAAGAAACTCAAGGGGTGCCTGGGTGGCTCAGTCGCTAAGCATCTGCCTTCGGCTCAGGTCATGATCCCAGAGTCCTGGGATCAAGCCCCGCATCGTGCTCCCTGCTCGCCCGAAGCCTGCTTCTCCCTCTCCTACTCCCCCTCCTTGTGTTCCCTCTCTTGCTGTGTCTCTCTCTGTCAAATAAATAAAATCTTTAAAAAAAAAAACTCAATTGAAACCAGAAAATATTTTGAATTATAATGAAAGTATGATATATCAAAACTTGTAGGATGCAGCAAAAGTCATGTTTAAGGGAAATTTATAGCCTTAAATTTATGAATTAGGAAAGAACAGCTGAAATCAATGATCTAAGTATCCATCTGAAGGAGTTAGAGAAAGAATAGCAAATTAAATTCAAAGAAAGTAGAAGGATATGACACAAACAGCACAGGCAGCAGAAACTAAACAAGTGGGTTTACACCAAACTACAAAGTTTCTGCACATCAAAGGAAGCAGTTAACAGTGTGAAAAGACAGTCCCCAGAACGGGAGAAAATAGTTGCAAACTATGTCTGATTAGGGATTAATTTCCACAATATGTAAAGAAACCTACAACTCAATAGCAAAAAAACCTTAATCATCTGATGTAAAAATCAGCTAGGGACTTGAATAGACATTTCTCTGAAAAAGATAACACAAATTGCCAGCAGGTATATGAAAAAATGCTCAACATCACCAACCATTAGGGAAATGCAAATCAAAATCACAATAGGACATATCACCTCCCACCTCTCATGATTGCTGTTATCAAACAAAAGACAACGTTGGCAAATGTGTGAAGAAATTGGAACCTTGCATACTGTTGAGGGAATGCAAAACTATGTGGCTGCTATTTTGAAAAGGTTCCTCAAAAGGTTAAAAATAGAACTACAGTATGATCCAAGAATCCTACTTCTGGGTGTTTATCCAAAAGAATTGAAATTAGAATCATGAGAAAGATTAGCACTCCCATGCTCATGCATCATTATTCACAATATCCAAGATGTGGAAACAATACAGATGTCCATTGACAGATAAATGGATTAAGAAAATGCAGTATATATATACAGTGGTGTATGGTATACTGTTCAGTCCTTAAAAAGGAAATTATGAGGTATCTAAAATAGAAAAATTCAGGTGCGCATTGGCGGCTCAGTCGTTAAGCATCTGCCTTTGGTTCAGGTCATGATCCCGGGGTCCTGGGATAGAGCCCCACATAGGGCTCCCTGCTGTGCGGGAAGCCTGCTTCTCCCTTTCCCACTCCCCCTGCTTGTGTTGCCTCTTTCACTGTGTCTTTCTGTCAAATAAATAAAATCTTTTAAAAAAATAAAAATAAAAAAAATATATTAAAAAAAAATAAAAAAATAAAAATAAATAAAAATAAATAAATAAATAAAATAGAAAAATTCATAGAATCAAAGAGTGGAATAGTGGTTTCCAGGAACTGGGAGGAAAGGGGAATGAGTTACTAATCAACAGGCATAAAGTTTCAGTTAAGCAAGATGAATAAGCTCTACAAGTCTGCTGTGCAACATTGTACCTATAGTCAGCAATGATGTATTATATTATTAATATACTAATATATTAGTATATGTTAATTATGTAATGTATTAATATAATGTACACTTAAAAACATGAGATACAGTAAAATAAAAAAAAGAAAATGGAAGGAAATAATCAAGAGTAGAAATCAGTGTAATAGAAAACAAAATACATTAGGGAGGATCAAAAAGCCAAAAGTTGGTTCTTAGTCTTTTCAAATAATATTGATAAGCCCTGGTACAACTGTTCAGAAAGAGGAGTGAGAGCATAAATACTGAATAAAAAATGAGACATCACTCCAGATCCTACACCCAAAGCCATAAAAAGATAGGAAAATAGGGGCGCCTGGGTGGCTCAGTTGGTTGAGCGACTGCCTTCAGCTCCGGTCATGATCTCGGGGTCCTGGGATCGAGCCCCGCATCGGGCTCCCTGCTCGGTGGGAAGCCTGCTTCTCTCTTTCCTACTCCCCCTGCTTGTATTCCCTCTCTCGCTGTGCCTCTACCTCTCTCTGTCAAATAAATAAAAATCTTTAAAAAAAAAAAAAAAGGAAAATATGACATTCTTTTTTTTTTTTTTAAAGATTTTACTTATTTGACAGTGATACAACGAGAGAGGGAACACAAGCGGGGGATTGGGAGAGGGAGAAGCAGGCTTCCTGCTGAGCAGGGAGCCTGACGCAGGGCTCAATTCCAGGACCCCAGAATCATGACCTGAGCCGAAGGCAGACACTTAACGACTAATCCACCCAGGCGCCCCAAGAAAATATGAAATTCTTGAACCAGTTTTGACCATAACAAATGTTATAATAATCTGAATTTTTCTTTTTTCCAAAATAGGCACAACAGCAGAAGATCTTCAGTGTTGCTCTACAGAAGCAAAATAATGTAAAATTTGGGAAGAATGTGTACATAAATGATAGAATTCCAGAAGAAAGGAATGAAGTTGAATTGAAATGTGGATTTGAGGAAGAGGATGAGAATGAAGAGGAGGTGATGGAAGTTCCTTCCTTCCTTTTCCCCTCCCTCTTTTTCTTCCCTTCTTTTTTTTATGATTTTTTAAATTTTGAGTTGTAATGTATGTCTGTATGACTCTCAGTCTTCCCGTGTGAAAATTGAACTTATGTAGATCAGTTTGTAATGAGCTATTAGGGCAGTGTGTCATCTGAAATATTAGTCTGCATAGTTGACAGATAAATAGTATATATTCTAGATTATATTTATAAGCCATAGATAGTTGAACCTAGTTGTTCTACCATAATTAGCAGTGAAATTGTAAATGTAATGATTTTTTTGTAGTGATCACTCATTTTAATTATCTGTGGCAAACATTTAATTTCATGATGGCTTGGCCTTGCTGGTTAGACTAATTCTGGAAAGCCTACCTTTTTTCCCCTTTGGTGCTGAGATAACTGCAAAATGGTTCTAGTAGATTAAAGTTTTTTAATTCTTAAAAAAGTCTTAGCTCTAGAAAGCTTGAAGTTATCTTTAAGTGTTCACTTTCTTTCATCTTCTATATCTAAATTTATTCCTAATTTTATTTGCTTCTTTTACTCTCTACATGAAGTCTTCTGTTGAGCCTACTTTTTGGCTTTTCCTTTGATTTTTTTGAATTTAGTTAATATCATGAGAAGCCTATTCATAAGTTTTGCCTTGTCAGTGAGATTTTAAATTCTTTTTCTAAGGACTTAGTCGGGGCCCAGTATGAACTTTTAATTAATTGATAGAAGAAACCATATGAATATGTGCCCATGGCCTTCTCTGTGGTTGGAGAACAACTGGGAGTTCAGTATATATGTTTCTACTATATGCCTGAGGATGAGTGAAACTATATGTATTTATGTGTGTGTGTGTGTGTGTACACACGTGTATGTTTATATATATATGTGAATGTACACATATATATACACACACACGTGTGTGTGTGCACATGCAATGGATGTCTGATATTGTAGGGGATACGGACAAATGAACTGCCTTAGACAGTTTAGTATCTTCTTAAAAGGGAATTAGTGTGTCCTGATTAGTCTCTGGAAATTAATGTTTTCGAAATTTACTTTTTTGTTCTTTTTTAATCAGTATTCAGAGAATCTCTATATTCTCTTCTCCTAAGCATGTTTGAGATACATAATCTCTGTCCTTTAATTACTTTATAATCTGAAACACTCAACAATAATGATAAATATATAAAGTGAATTATTGAACTAGTGCCAAAACAATTACAAAGGCATTGTATTTATATTGTAATGTTTTTATAGTTGATAAATGTTATAACATGAAGTCCATGAATCTCCTTGCTGTCTTTAACTTATATTATCCAACAGTAAGCTAGTAGTTTGATGATTTTTATTTTTATTTATTTTATATTTTTATTATTTAAAAAATTTTTTGAGGGGGGAGGGTTAGAGGGAAAGGGAGAATCTTTTTCTCTCTCTCTCTTTTTTTTCAGAGAGTGAGTGTGGCGGGATAGAGGGTAGGATGAGGCAGAGGAGAGGGAGAGAATCTTAAGCAGGCTCCATGCCCAGCGTGGAACCCGTTATGGGGTTCAATCCCATGACCTTGAGATCATGACCTGAGCCAAAATCGAGAGTTGGACACTTAACCAACTGGGCCACCCAGGTACCCCAAGTTTGATAATTTTTAAAATGTGGTTTTATAAGAAGGGCATGTGTTGTGATGAGCACTGAGTGCTATATGCAACTGATGAATTGTTGAACACTACATCAAAAACTAATGATGTACTATATGTTGGCTAATTGAACATAATAGAAAAAATAAATAAATAAAATGAAGTTGGAAAAAAAAAAAAGAAACAATAAGAGAAAAATGTATACCAGCTTGCTTAGAGTTCTCGTCTCCAGAAGCGGAATTGGGTTTATTTTCCTTCTTTGTAGTCTTATGCATTGGCTACATTTAGAGTAATTAATATGTATTACTTTGGTAATCAGAAAAAATCACAAATATACCTAAATAATAAACAGTGAATGCCATAAAAAATGTGGTTTTATTTTTCAGGTCTTAACTGTTCAGGATCTGGTTGATTTTTCCCCTGTTTACCGATGTTTGCACATTTATTCTGTTTTGGTGAGTACCTTTTGTATATGTATATCGTGTGTGTGTGTGTGTGTGAGTGTATACACATGTATATAGATACACATAAATATTTGTATAATAAAAAAGATATGTATGCATTTTAGGCCTGCTTTTCTAAAGACTGGCCATAAGCTCAGTAAGCTGTAAATCTTCATGCATAAGTATTTTAAATATCCCCTGTGAGTAAGGCACTTACTTTTTTCTTTATCGTAGTCCCCTTTCAAGTGATGTATCACTTCATCTGTAAGAACCTTATAATAGTATACTTCCATTTCACCCTTCTTATATTTGTGCTCTTGTATCACAATTGCTTTTAAATATGTTGTGTCTACATTGCTTACTCCTTCTACATTGTATTCATTTTTGATTAAATAATTCTTTTAAAAGATAGTAACATTATTTTGATATAATTCATATACCAAAAAATTTACCCCTTTAAAGTATGATTCAGTGGTTTTAGCATATTTATGAGGATGTGCAACTATTGAAACTAATTCCAGAACATTTCATTTCTGAAGAAGGAAACCTCTTACCAATTAACAGTCACTCCTCATTCTCCCCTACCTCCAGTCCCTGGCAACCACTCATTTACTTTCTTTCTCTACGGATTTGCCTATTTTGGATATTTCATATAAATAGAATCATAGTAAGTGTGGTCTTTTGTGTCTTGGCCTCTTTCACATAGTTGGAAGTTGAGATTATTGATTGAGATCTTTCTTCTATTTTAATACATTTACAGCTATAAATATAAATTTCCTTCTAACCACTGCTTAGCTGCATTCCATGAGTTCTGGTATGTTGTGTTTTTGTTTCCATTCATCTCAAAATATTTTCTAAATTCTTGTTATTTGTTCTATAACCCACGGGTATTTAGGAGTATATTGTTTCATTTCCCTATGTTTGTGAATTTCCAAAAAGTTCTTCTGTTACTAATTCCAAATTTAATCTTACTGTGGTCAGAGATCATATTTTTATGACTTCAGTCCTTTTAAATTTATGGAGGCTTGTTTTATGGCCTAACATATGGTATATCCTGGAGAATGTTCCATGTGTACTTGAGAAGAATGTGTATCTGGCTGTTGTTGGGTGGTGTGTTCTGTAGACATCTGTTAGGTCTAGTTGATTTAATATTGTTATTCAGGTCTTCTGTTTCCTTGTTGATCTTCCTATCTATCTGTTATTGAAAGTGGTAATATTGAAGTCTCTGACTGTAACTGTTGAATTATCTGTTCTTCCTTTAGTCTTGCCAATTTTCATTCATGTATTTTTGAAGCTCTGTTTTTAGGTGAATATATGTTTATAATTGTTATAGCTTCATGATGGATTAACTTTTTTTCATTATAAAATGTCATTCTTTGTGTATTTTTTTGGTTTAAAGTCTATTTTGGCTGATTAGTATAGCTACTCTAACTCTCTTTTGGTTACTGTTGCCATGGTATGTTTTTCCATACTTTTATTTTAAATCACTTTGTGTTTTTGAATCTAAAGTGGGTCTCTTTTGAATAGCATATAGATGGATTTTTAAGAATCCAGTCTGCCAATTTCTGCCTTTTGATTGAAGTGTTTAGTTCTTTTGCATTTAATGTAATTACTGATATGGCCAGATTTATGCCTACTGTTTGCTTTATGTATCATGTCTTTTTTGTTCTATTCCTCCATTACTGTCTTCTTCTTAAATAGGTATTTTCTCATGAACCATTTTAATTCTCTTGTCATCTCTTTTAAAATATATACACATTAATATATATAATATATATTAATATATAAATAGTAACATAAATATATAGATGTATAAGTATATTATTACATATAAATATGTAATATAAATATATAAAAATATATAAATATAAGACATAATAGTTAATATATGTATATATACACATATATAATATATATAGTATTTTCTTAGTGTTTGCCCTGGAGATTATAATTAATATCCTACCTTAAAACAATCTAGTTCATATTAATCCTCCTCCTTTGTGTTATTATTGAGATATTAATTACATCTTTATACATTATAAACCATAATATAATTATTTCTTTATGCAATTGTTTTCTAAATCAGAAGAATGGAGTTACAAATTATACTGTCTTTATATTTACCTCTATATTACCTTAACTGGGACTCTTTTATTTCTTCATGTGAATTAGTGTTACTGCCTAGTGTCCTTTTATTTTTGCCTAAAGGACTACCTTTAGTATCTCTTTTAGGGAAGGTCAACTAGCATCACATTCTCTCAGTTTTTGGTTTATCTGGGAATGTCTTAATTTCTCCTTTGCTTTTTAAGAGTAGTTTTGCTAGATACAGAATTTTTGGTCTTTTTCTTTCAGCACTTAGAAAATGTCTACGGAAGGCATTTAGAGTTAAGGTGTTTTGAGATTTGGATTATTCACTGAAATTGGATTAAATTGAAATTGAAATAATTAAAAAGAAATGGTAATTATGTTAATTAGAGCAAATAGAATTATCTTCATTAGTTAACGTCTTTTGGCCCTCTATTAAAAGACAGGACCAACTCTGTACTTATGAACTGAGGTAAAAGCAATAAGCACAATATCAATGTAAACTTACTATTTTACAAATTAGTGATGTTTCAAGTATATTGAGCATTATTGAGTAGAAATGTAAAATTTTTTTCTTTTTAAAGCTATAATAAATTGTACCATTGTATAAAAACAGTAATACTTTTAGTCTATTCTGTGGTGAAATAATTCTTCAAATGTGTATGATTATAAACTTTAACTGCTCAGATTCTTTTAAAATTTAGTATTTTATCTTTTATAACGTCAGGTAGTAGTATATACATTTAACTATATTTACACCTGAGGCAAGTAGAGGGTAAGTTCTATCAAGATTACATTGCTATATGTAGTAACATTGAAAAATTGGCTTCCAGTTGTCTGATCTCAATTTTTTGTTTTTTGGGGTTTTTTTTTGCCTTGTTTTGTTTCTAAACTAGATTGTATTGGCTTCTAATCAGGATGAAGTTCTTAATTATCTCAGTTGTTAAATTGGCCTGTGTTGTGGTTTGATTCTTTTAAAACTCCTTTCAAATTAGATGTTTTCCGATAGGTTTTGGATTTGGTGGAGAAGAATGATTTTTGGTTTTGATAATGCTTAATTTTTCTGTCTTGTATGGGCCCAGTAAACTGCAGTGAGTGCCCATAGGCACTTCTGTTACTTTGTATTATCCTTTTTCTGTATGATCCACAAAGATAGTGACCATGTGAGTGTCGTGTATTGTTCTTTCCCTAGTGCTTTTCATTGCATCTGATATTTCATAAAGATTTGCTGAATTAGTAATTGGGCTCTTTTAAAAACAATTTTTTTATTAACATATAATGTATTATTTGTTTCAGGGGTACAAGTCTGTGATTCATCAGTCTTAAAACAATTCACAGTGCTCACCATAGTACCTACCCTCCCCAATGTCCATCACCCAGCCACCCCATCCCTCCCACCCCCCACCATTCTAGCAAACCTCAGTTTGTTTCCTGAGATTAAGAGTCTCTTATGGTTTAACACACACTCAATTTTTAATAAATTATTTTATGTATCTTTACCCTGGTAACTTATATCAACAGGCACTAAGCCCTCTGGGAAAGAATATATCTTTATAGGGCGCCTGGGTAGCTCAGTCGTTAGGCGTCTGCCTTCGGCTCAGGTCATGGTCAGAGGGGCCTTGGAATCGAGTCCCACATCGGGCTCCCTGCTCCACGGGAAGCCTGCTTCTCCCTCTCCCACTCCCCCTGCTTCTGTTCCTGCTCTCACTATCTCTCTCTCTGTCAAATAAATAAATAAAATCTTAAAAAAAAAAAAGAGTATATCTTTATAGCTGGTGCAAAAAAGTGTTGAACCAACGGATACTATGTGAGGTTTCAGTGTGGCTTCTCTGAAAATGATACATTGGGTATTAAATTACAGTTTCACTGTTCATGATTTAAAATGAAAGAAACAGAAAGCACAATTAAATGATCAAAATAATTTAAAGTCAATTGTAGAGAACCAATAGAATGATAGAAAGTTTTAGACTCTAGTCAAATTTGTGATTTTTCAGCAATCTATGATTCAGATAGTCAACTATTTTAAATAAATGATTACTCTCAGAATTTGTTATTATAACTAACTTAATTTATAATTTTAAATAACTTACTTTTATTTTATTTTATTTTTTTTAAAGATTTTTTATTTATTTATTTGAGAGAGAGAGAATGAGAGACAGAGAGCATGAGAGGGAGGAGGGTCAGAGGGAGAAGCAGACTCCCCGCCGAGCAGGGAGCCCGATGCGGGACTCGATCCCGGGACTCCAGGATCCTGACCTGAGCCAAAGGCAGTCGCTCAACCAACTGAGCCACCCAGGCGCCCCTTTAAATAACTTACTTTTAGTTCTCTGTATATTTTTATATCTTTATAATATACAGAATCTATAAACTTAAGAAAGCTGCGTTTTAAAAGAAGTCAGTTTTGACTAATTCAGGCAGGACTTTTTCCCCTTTTTATTGTGTAAGTGAGGTTTTATTATTCTATAAATGTAAATAAACTTTCATTAGCATGAGAACTTCTGGTTGGTATATATGACCAAAAATTGGTAAAAGTAAAATGACCAAAATTTAGTAAAGCTAATTCCTCTGTTGTTATTATAGTCAGTTTCCTTTCATTTGCTATTTCATTTAAGCTACTTTCTAGTAGTAACTGGGCACTTCACTGGGTCATCAGTTCTAGTATCTACCTGACACTGTGCCTCCATTTGCTCCTTTATTTTCCCAATTTGATGCGTACTCTATGATATTTGGTATTTTGAGATGAACTCTGAGTACAAAGCTGTACCATGACATAGGATGTCAGTTGTTGGTGTGACTGGATGTACTTGCATCAATAAAAGAACATGTTTCACCCCTAAAAAAAAAATCGCCCTGCAGTATAACTTATCCTTTAGAGTTTTACTGTGGGATCAGGCTGACGTCTGTTTTCTTGAAGACTTTTTTGCCTA